TTTTATGCCTCATTCTGTTTATTTTTTTATTGTTTTGTTTGTGTTTGGTTGTTTTGCATCTCATTTTGGTCATTGTTAGTCATGCTATGCAGCGGCCTCTTCATTTTTGGTTATTTTGTCAATGTTTTGCATCTTTGGAAGCATAATTTTGGTCATTTTTGGTAGTTTTCCTTCAGTTTTTGCTCATATTTGGATGTTTTGCGCCTCTTTTTTTTCCCAGTTTTGGTCATATTTCATCTGACCTCCATCTTGTGCAGTTTAGGTTATTTTCTGTCTGTTAAGTTTGTTTGCAAAAAATCTGCATTTCATGAAGCAAATACAGCAAAAAGTTTCCTCTGAAGTGTGCAGAATGAGTAGAAAGTGACATGAAATACGTCGACTGTACTAGAATATTTGCTCAGAGGCTTTAAGCCGACATGAGCCTGACGTCCAGCTTCAGCACCTCCACAGTCGGTCGGTTTCAGATTTAGAGGATTTGACCAGCGACTGAATCTGAAGTGCAAATTGAGGTGCAGCGACGGACCACACAGCGGGTCAGGACCCGGAGCTGGCGGGTCATGGGAAGGCTGCTGCTGCTGCTGGATGATGGTTCTGCTGCGGCTCTGCGGTTATTATCTGCCGGTTTCTGCCCGAGTTCCTTTAACATGACATAATGCGGCCTCGCAGCTCGTCTGCAGCTTTAAAATGTGCCTCCACAGAAAAGATTTTTTTGTTCATGCGCTGATGGAAGCAGATCAGAGCTCCAATCCTGCCAAACATGCGAGCGCGGCGCTGAAGTGGCACTTGAAGACCTCGACCACACACCCTGGCCTCTGTCAGCGCGCACAATCGAAATCTGTAAACACCCCGCAAAGCCGCTTTTCTTATTTCTCTCTTCCAGCAATTTTCAGTTTTTTCTAATCTCCTAATCAAATGTGCCAAAAGCTCCCCAAAGTCTCCGGACGGCTGAAACTCGGCGTCAGAAGAAAGGCGTCATTAAGAGGCTTTGATTTGTAGTGGCGCTGCATTGTTTGAGCCGCTGAATGACTCCTCTGAGCATTTGAAAAGATAAACACAATTCCGGCGAGCGTAGACGAGCCAGAGAGCTCAAGTGTTATTACAAAAGATTAATGCAAGTGCTCGGACACGAAGCGAATGGAGGCGAAGGCAGAGTCCTGCTGGGAACTGACGAGGCCCCTCACCTCTGACCATCACACTTTATTCTGCACCGAGGTTCCTCTCCAACGTCGGGTTTCTACGACCAAACCGTCTCAGGTCCAGATCCAAGGCCTCGGTGGTGGCAGGTACAAAGACTGACTGTTGGTCTACATCTTCAGTTAGTGGACGGATGGACCGGAGCCCGAATCATCCAGAAAGAAAGACGAATTGACCAAAACAAGACACTTAACAAGAAGAACTGAGCCAAATGAAGTGAAAACAACCAAGAAGACACGTATAACCACCACAAATGACCAAAGCAAGATGCAAAACGATGCATTAAATCTTCAAAAATGACCCAAAAGAAACAGAAAATGACAATGAGCAAAACTGAACACAATAAAGGGCCAAAACTAAGCAAAATATGACACAAAAATGAACAAAATTAGCTGTAAAAACACCATAAATAAACTAAATGTGATGCAAAAATGTATATGATGAGGTGGAAAAAGACCAAAAATAAACATCCATCCATTATCTCTACATCTTAATCCTCACTAGGGTCATGGGGGGCTGGAGTCTATCCCAGCTGACTCAGGGTGAAGGCAGGTTCACCTGGACAGGTCACCAGTCTATCACAGGGCTACACTTAGAGACAGACAACCAAGCACACTCACATTCACACCTACGGACAATTTAGAATCACCAATTAACCTCAACATGTTTCTGGACTGTGGGAGGAAGCCGGAGAACCTGGAGAGAACCCACGCTGCACGGGGAGAACATGGAGACTCCACGCAGAAAAAAATGAGTAAAACAGAACAAAATGAGGCCCCAAAAATCAACAAAAAAGAACTGCTAAAAGTGTAAAAATGAGCAAAAGTGAAGCATAAAATGACTCAAAATGGGAAAAAAACATGTAAAAAGACCAAAATAAACCACATAATGCACAAAAACACCAAGAATGGATAAAATGAAATGCAAAATGATCAAACACTGACAAATTATGCACAAAAGGTCCAAAATGTACTAAAATGACTAACAATGTAACAAAAATAGATGCAAAAACAATTTTTAAAAATTTAGAACAAAATGATGTGCAACATGTTCACAAATGAAAGCCAATTAAAACATAGAGAACCAAAGTAAGATGCAAAGTAACCAAAACAAAACAAAAGACCAAAAATGTTTGGTACAAAATGAATTAAGTTAGACACAAAAAGAGAAAAACAAGACGTAAAATTACCCAAAACAATAATCAACTAAATGAGATGTAGAACGAGAGTTAATATAACGATGTGTGACATGTTCAAAAATGAACAAAAAGACAGAAAAAGAACAAACGGAGACTCGACTAGGCCCATAAAAGAAGTAAGATGCAAAATAACAAAGATATAAAACAACATTAGACCAAAAATGTTTGGTTCAAAATGAGCAAAAATGAGCAAAATGAGGCGTAAAATTACCACAAAATGACCATAACGAGACTCAAAACACCAACAATGACCTAAAGTCCGATTACGCCTGATTTTGTTCTTTTCAATCATTTTGTATTTTATTCCATAAAAACTGCACAAACCAGATGTGGACACAATTAGGCACAAAAATAAGCAAAATAAAATGCAAAATGAATAAAAATGAACAAAATGACCAAAAAAATACACAAAACTTGAGTTGTTATTAATTGAAGAAGTATGTCTAAAGGTCTGTGTGTGTATATGCATTTATATACGTGTGTGTGTCTGTGTGTGTTTATATGCGTGTATATATATACATTTATATATATATATATATATATGTGTGTGTGTGTGTGTGTATACGTGTGTGTGTGGCTGAGGTCGCCTCCCTCCCTTTGTGTTGCGAGCTCAGTTTGATTGGCAGCCGGCCGGCCTCCTCGCCGGGTTTCTCGCTGCTGCTGACCACTAACATATGGAGCCTTTATCCGGGCTGCTGACCAGGACACACACTGCTGCCTCTGGACACCACGTTTTAACCCGGTTAACACACTCCAACAAAAGCCCCGGACCCCCATGTATGCATGCAGCCGCGAATTAAACCTGCTCTGGGGTCCCGAGTCGGAGCCGCTCGACCTGCAGGACAGAATCAGTTTACAGATGTGGTCGGGCTGGATCGGACATTTTAAAAGCAGAACCGTGTTTGCAGCTGTTTTCTAACATTAGGAACCATGAGAGCTGCATTTTTATGATACAGACGTTAGTTTTGGTTAATAAGAAACTTGTTTACATCAAAACAAG